CATTATTATATATCATTATCATTATCATTCTTACCAGTAGTATAGTTTCATGCATTGTCTTCCTTATCTTCAATACTGCTAGTAATGATGATATGAATTATTATTATTATTATTTTCATTATTAGTTATTAGTTATATCATCATCATCATTATCATTATTGTTATTATTGTTGTTGCCATTATTAGCATTGTCATTATCTTTGTTAGAACATTTTTCAGTCATGGTAATACTGAAATTTTCTGTTTGAAATTTTATGGAAAATGTGAGATTTGGTAAACCCAATTGACTCCTTGTGATGACAAAGCACTATGGAGCTATCTTTGTGTAAACAAAATTAATAGACTAAAATCACAGTGGGCAGCATCTGTATATATGCCATTCTAGCATAAGAAGGGCAAAGAAAGAAAGATAAAAAAAGAGTAATAATAGTAGTAATATAGATTTCCCTGCCCTTAATTAAATTATCATATTTAACCATTGAAGTTAGGCCTGGTCTCATCCATTAGTACATATTTCTCTGCAAAATTGATATGAATATACAAAAGCTGCATACCAGTAAAAATACTTTATAAGTATTTGAGTCTAGTGCATCTATATTTTGTATAGGAATTTATTTACATTGAAGAATCTTAGAATTTCTACAAAGGTGGGAATGTCAGAAATGCTAGTACTTATACAATCACTTTTTCTCTGCCTGGCCTTCCTCATAATGCTTCTTTTAACTCAGAAGTAAATGGTAATTTGATGCCTCGGCATTTTTGCTCTTGACTTCTTTTTCTGATATAACGAAAAAATGTGACACAAACGTTTTTTTTTTTTTTTCCTCCCTTTTACTGAAAACAGATGTTTGGAGAGCTACAAAATAAAAATAAAGGTGAAAATTAAAAGTGTGGCAAGGGCATTCTGTTCTCACTGTTTTGCTTAGTCTAACAAACAAGGTCTTATCCTTCAGTATCAAATTTTGCATCTTGAGGAAGGCCTGGTCTTTTCACCTTTTAAAATTCAAAATCTATTGGTCTGATTCTCATAGAAAAATACAGCTTTTGGAATATCATAATGTAAATATTAAAGGGTGAGGAGTTAAAATCCTTATTTTAAAACAATAGAAAAAAAAGTGATAGTCCCTTTTAAATTGAACTATATTTGTAGGGCATATTCATCCTTACAATGATTTCCAAAACGTTGAGTTTCCTTGCTTATAGCAGAAGCCATTTTGGGTTGAGATTATACAGTTAATCTCAGATGAAAATCCAAGGTGAAAGGGCATTGAGTTTAAGTTTAAGGTTCTTATATTATGGGAATGTAAAGGTGTGGTATTAGGTTACACTAGGGGGTAGATCAAGCACTTAAAACAACAGTGTGATACAACACACACACACACACACACACACACAACGCATGCAAATTCACATGCACCCACAACACATGCATATGCACATACAGACGTGCACACAAAACACACGAATGTGCACACACAACACATGCATGTGCAAATACAGCACATCTGTGTCCAGACACATGCATACAGCACTCACTCACTCACTCACTCACTCACTCACTCACTCACTCACTCACTCACTCACTCACTCACTCACACACACACACACACACACACACACACACACACACACACACACACACACACACACACACACACACACACACACACACACACACATGTATACACATATACACATAGAATATGAAAGAATGAAGGGATAGGATGAAGTAGAATAGAATACAGGTCCGATGTGGAGAGCAGTACTATTCATTGCACGGCACGTGAGCTGCACATGGTTTGTGACTACCAAATTGTTGGCTCTCCATCTAGGAAAGACAGTATTTGCCAACATACAAGATGCACTGCCATATTTAGAAAACCTTTTTTTATTGTTTATATTTTATATTTTTTATGACAATATGTCTTGCATATTGAAAATCATGATGTTATTTTCTCTTTGGAAAGATTTTGTTATTCTGTTCAGAACCTCTCATCCAAGCACATACAAAAGGAAAGAAGTATTTTAGTAAAAAATAGTATGAGGCAGAAAAGTAATCTGTAATTGGTAAAAGGAAATAACAGTAGTTGATTATTACATGACAAGGAACATAAAGTATATACGGGTAATATAATTGGATCATATAGGAATTATCACCCATTGATGATGCCAAGTTACATGAGTTAAAAATTAGAAGCATAGGAAACCTAAGCTCTGCTCTTTTAGTTATTGAGGCTTACTTTTGAGGGGATATATTCTATTCAGAGACTGCTGTCAAAGTCAGGCTGTTTAGCATATACAATTTAGAGGAGTCTTGATTCTTGAGGTCAAATGGCAACCATTCGATGGCTTATCTCTTGGCCTGGACATGGGCTTTGGTGATTCAAGTGCTTTGAACATGGCTTAAATTTATTATTTTTCTTTTCTGGAAAAAAGTGCATCTTTTATGCTGTCAGATACAATTAATGAATTATTATGAAAATATAATTCTCACTATTTTATGTACATATATGATTTTACATATAAAGTTAATAGATTACTACAAAGACCTTTGTCTGGAATGACATTTTAAAATTTGAAATGCAGTAAAGTATATGCCCTTCTGTAACTATGTAACATTGTGGAAAAGTATGACTCCTATAGTGAATGTTGTCAACCAAAATGGCTCTCTTGCAAAAATAATGAATATCTCAAGTATAGAGGATGGGTAAGCTCTTCACATAACTCACAGATATGTTGCTTCATGAATGTTGCATGTTTGTTAAGCCTGAAGACTGCAGACTGTGATACTGTAATGTATTTTCAAAATAATCATTTTGGAGGCAGAAAGCTTGTTTCTTCTAAGCATTAGTGAGAATGTAAACAAATCTGTAGCACATGTGTAGAATTTCTTCCTTGGTTCCTTTTTTTTCATTGAGCTGTCTGGATTTTAAATTTATAGGCTTTGTTTATTCACTTAATGAGTTATTGAATTATTAGTAGTATATGTATGATTAATGTGTAGGAGCCTGTTTGTTTATTTTTTGTATTTTTTGTGGAAGTCAGCTTTAATGAATTTGGAAACTCTTTGGGATTCTGACTTACAAATCCTAAGTATAATACCCTACAATTTATATGCTTGGACTATTCTCATGCAAAAAAAATACTGTCAGAGTAAGGGCTTTATGATAAAGGAAGATATTAGTGCAAATTTACACCACAAAGTTCTGAAACAAATCGGGGGATGTATATATTTCTGTTTTACTTCAATGTTTTTATCATCAGTGAAAGAAAGGAAATTAATATGTAATTGCAGTACTTTGTTATGATGATGAAATACCAATCCTTTTTGATCATTGTGGAGTTTTTTTTTTTTTTTCCTCAACTAAGCTGGGTCTAGCACTGTTGACTTTCTTAGATTAAGCCATCAGTACACGTTCTGCTTATGTACACCGGGATATGACCATCTCTACAAGCACATATGAAGGCCTAATGTTAGTGTTGTAATGGGTCTGGGACTTGAATTTGTCTTGTTTTCTTTTTCCCAACATGGAGAGAAATATTATGGACTTTTTCCAATTTTGTTTTCTAGAATGTGATTAAACATTATTCTTCATTCTTATGCGAGTTGTTTATTTTCACGTAAGTCATAACTAGATTATCAGAAGATGCATAATCATATAATATTTTGTGAATCAATAATATTAATGTAGGAAGAAGCTATTCCTTACATGTCTTTAGTCTTTAATCTTGGCAAAAGAACTATATGTAGAGACAGCAGATCACTTTTTATATGAGATATTTATGTAGCATTTAGATTTGTTTTATGAATTGTAGAAGTAACCTTACCATCTTCAGTAAATGCATATACCTTGCTTTTAGGGGTTTGAGTGTTATTCAGAGGGATATCAATGTATTCTGTTTAGTAGATATTCCTTCTCAGTTGCAGCATTTTCTGTGGTGTTATTCTCATTGTGGATATGAAATAGTAACCTATTCCTGAATTTTTATGAGTATATATTGTATCCTTGATTGAAATATTTCTGTGTCTATAATGACATTTAAACATTTTGCCATCTGTACTCTGTAACATATTGATGTGTGCTCATATTCCCACTACATTGCATATTGTATGCCATTAGTCTGTTGGATATAGCAAGGTATTTTTAAAGGAAATATTTGTTTATTTAGCATTAATGTTATTGCTACTTCTCATAATATTATTTAGTTTCTGCATTAGCATGAGGGCAATGAGACGGTAATTTGAATTGTAGGTTGTATTCAGAATTATGTTGTTCTTTTAATTCAGAAGTTTTATAAGCAGTTATGAGTTATTGCCAAGACAGGGTTATTTATTTTTTTGATGTTTCCAAATAACTTTTGCTTCTGACTGTATAACTTTTTTTTTTGTTTGATTTCTGTCAATAGGAGTTGGAATCTGAGAGAGCAGCTAAGAAGAAAGCCGAGAAGGAACTTCGGAAAGTTCAGGAGACATTGGAAGAGGAGCGAGGAAAGCAAAAACAAATAATCTTAATGTTAGTCGAAGAGCGCAAAAGGTTGGCACTCCAGTATGTTGAGGAGAGAAAAAGATCTGAAGATTTAGCTCAGGTGAGTGATGCTGTAGGTTCAGTGATTTATATGTATTAAATATGTATGTGTGTGGTGTGATCTGTCTGTCTCTTGTCTACATTTTTATCTTTTTTATATCTTTCTGATCTAATGTCATTGTGTGTGTATGTCTGAGTTTGTCTATTTATATTTATGTGTGTAATTCACTGTACTGTTACATTATGACTTTTGCAGTTATTGTTTTCATTTCAATATTGTCTTTGCCACTGCTAACCCAACCACCACGGATTTATGTTCTGTCCCCTGTAGTTTTTATGTCTTTTTTTTATTTTTTTTTTATTTTTTTACATACAGATGGCTCTACATGTGCTCAGATGGTAAGGAGTGTATTAGTAGGCTCTAGTGACTGATCCTGATTTCCACATTCCTTGAATTGGCAGGAAAATTTGTATATGTTTTTAATACAATTCATATCATGCTGACGGGCATGACATGTATGACATGCCATGCCCACTGTGAGTCTACTTTATTAATTGTTTTTACATATAGATGGCTACACTTGTACTAAGTCACTAATGAGCCAATTACAAGTACTGCCTGTCTCGTTCGTTTACCCTTTTCCTTGATTTACAAAAATATTGTACATTATCTCATTTTGCTGTTACTAATGTTTATAAAATTATAGTAATTATAATGTCTATAATGAAAATAACACCATCGATATTCATAGCATTAGTAAAGAATGTTTTTCCTGCCAATTCAAGGAAAGGAGAAATTAGATAAGGTCACAAGGTCTACTAATTGACTCCTTTGTGGCTAAGCACTAGCAGAGCCATCTATGTGCAGCGACATTTCACACAAAAAATTAAAAAATGAGCACAGCATTTTTCCTGGCAGCATGTGGTTAAGAAAGTATAATGATGTGAAGTTGATTTATTTTTCACATGTTTTTATTCAATTTCATATTATGTTAATGAATGGATGGATGATTATAGGTAGCTTTGCAGTTGTTTGATTGATATATTTTTCATGTATTGATTCATGTATTTTAAAGATTTTGTCAGAAGAGAAGGGCAGAATTGATTCAATGGCGGAGGGCTTGGAGGAAGAAAGTAAAAAGTCACTTCAAATGGAGGCAGAACTAGAGAAGCAGCTAGCAGACTTTGACACCGAGCGGCAACAGATGAGGGGCCAGCTTACAAAAAAAGAGGAGAGGTATAGTTCATATAATGTTTTCTTTTAGTAGAGAAGATTAAAAAAAAAGAGGATGAAAATGTTTGGTTGTTGAAGAGAATTTGAAAATAAGTATATATATATGTATATATACATACACACATACATATTTACACACATACATATATACACACATACACATACACATACACATATACATACACATACACATACACATACACATACACATATACATACACATACACATACACATACACATACACATACTTATACATATACATACACATACACATACACATACATACATACATACATACATACATACATACATACATACATACATACATACATACACACACACACACACACACACACACACACACACACACACACACACACACACACACACACACACACACACACACACACACATACACACATACATACATACATACATACATACCTACACGCATACATACATACATACATGTATACGTGCACATACATACAGATACACACACATATACACACACATACACACACTCATATGCACATGCAAATATACACATATACACACATACACATACATATACATACACATACGTACACACACACACACACACACACACACACACACACACACACACACACACACACACACACACACACACACACACACACACACACACATACACACACACACACACACACACACACACAAAATAAAAAAAAATGTAAATATGTAAATTTCTTTCTCACAAATAGTTTATTTAGATTTTTTTAATTTAACTGGTATTATTGTCTTAATTAACTTTTTTGTACAGGATCAGTGAATTAGAGGCAATGCTTGAAAAGTTACAACATGAAGTAGACCATTATAAGAAGCAGTTGCAAGAGGCACACAATGTCGCCATGTTTCAGCAAACTCTCTCTGTTTCGCCTCCTCGGATCGGCATTGCCACCCGCCCTTCTCCCCCTCAGCTCCCGGCTAAACCAGCTACCCTCACTCAGACTCAGCCAAGAATGCCAGGTTTGTAACAGATGGTGGTGATTTATATTTTTCATAATGAAGTGAAGAGGTGATGAAGCTACCATTTGATCAGATTATCTCACACTAGCATAGATCAAAACCTAAGTTTAGAACTTTTTGCAAAAGATTTTTTTGTATAAGGGACAGCTTTTTAACCCCTTGGATGTGGAGCTTCACTGCTCACATGGGTGGCCCAAAATATGGGCATTAGACTTACTTGAATGGCCACTTGTGTGCAGTGACAAGACTTCATGCTTCCCCTTTGCAATGTTAATTTCTGTTTTTCTTCATAAGCATTCTTAGCTTTTTTGCCATTTTCCAGTGTCTATATTTGTCATTTGATTTGCTTTATCCAGAGGGTAATAGACTGTTTTCCTAACACAGATTCTATATCATCTCTCTAAGTAGTATATAACTCAGTGCAATAATAATAACAAAAACTAAAATTTCATCAAGGTAGGCAGGAATAGGATCCTAAGCATGGAAATAGCATCTTCCCAGGAGCCTGATTATTTTCAGTCATGGCTCACAGATAGTACATTCCTTATTTATTAATTGAAGTAATGCAAAATCCCCTTTCAAAAGGTCCACTGAGTATAATTACCCTTTAACCCAATGACGCCGGGTGTACAAAAGGAAAATAAAACTCTACGCTCTGGCAAACAAAGGCAGCGCGCCGACTTTGAGCGCCGGAGTACGGGGCGTCAGCCCGAATCACTGGCTCGCCG